AGTGAAGGCAGGCAACGAGGAGCAGAGTGGCTCAGGCAGGCAGACATCACCAACACAGCACAGATAAGGATGAGGAGTGAGCAGGAGCGGTACAGGACTGACTGTTGTTAGTGGCAGCAAATGCTGGATGAGCACCTGACCCTGAAAGATAAGAAAACCCTGGCGTGGCCTCTGACGTCTGCTGTTATTTTTAATTTATTTATTTAAATCTTGCCACAAGCTGGACCCAAAGTCTGGGAGAAAGTGTGTGTGTGTGTGTGTGAGAGAGATACACTTTAAAAAATATGGTGAGAAAATTTTAAATAAATAAACCAGCAAGGTGGGAACAAGTTGTACTTGTGGGGAACTTATAAAAAACAACTTTGTTATTATAGGAGAAAGTTTTTAAGACTTGCCCCCAAACAGTGTGTCCAGCAGGTACAGAGAGTAATGTAATTTATAGAAAGGATAAGCTGATATTTAACACTAAAAGATAAATTCAAGAAATGTAAAACTAATCAGTTTATTAGGTTCACCAAGCAGAAGCAGAAGTGGTCCTAACCTACCTTTAAAATCCATTTCTTATATTTAGTCACATTTGTACGTGATACAGGTGACCCATCGATACAAGGTCAGAACAGGGCAGCTCGACATAAAAGCCCACAAAGTGAGCAGCGTGGCACAGAAATAAAAGATCGATGCTCAGATTTTACTGAAGCTGCTTATGATGGTTTAACAGGAAGTAGTTAGTAAAATCCGGAGCTTTCTGTAGTTTCAACATAAAGTCTTTACAATTCTTACTTAATGTCAGGACTGCATGCAGCTGAGCTTGGTGTAGCTAATAAACTGCTCTGGTTGCTACTTCCGACCCTGAAAGACAAAAACGGTCCACAGCTCAGAGGTGGGTTTGGATCTCACGTGAAGATATTAAATCCTTTATTGCTTGTTGGTGGCTTTGGCATCATCTCTTCTACCTCCCTCCTCTGAAAGCCCAGAATGCTTTGCTGCTTATGGACACGTGAGCATGCAGACATGCAAACCTCCCCGGCAGCTCGCCTAATCTCCGACCTCCTCCACCTCCCTCTCTCCCTTTTCCGCTCTTTCGCTCTCTCTCTTTCTTAGTCACCCTCCCCAGCACCAATAATCAGCAATCAGCACGAGCCCTCCACCAGCCAATCAAACCGCCCGGCCACTCTGCGGCCCCTCAGGAACCTGCAGTCACATAGAGGAGAAGAGACCGTTAATAGAAAAGCACACACGAGCTGAACCTGCTCGCACTCAGCTCAAGTTGAGGATGCTTGCGTTTCAGACACACAGTAGAAAAGTTCAAATGGCGAATGAAAATGAAGGATGATGTAGCGCCCCTTTGCTGCGATAAACACTCTTCAGACACGACTTGCTTCAGCTGGCACAGACGCCGTTAATACCCGCGCTGCTTGGTTTTTATCCTCATGGATAGCGGTGGAAACACTGAGGGTCAGGCCAGGTTTCAATCAGTGACTCAAACAACAAACCAGGTCTACATCTTAGTCTCCTGAGCCTAAAAAAAGCTCTATAACCGGTTTAAAAACAATTAGGCTAACTAACTGCAACTCTTAATTTGTGAGTTAAGACCCACTGATAGAATTACAGCACATAAAAGCGCTATCCTGATTCAAAAGAAGGAAAACGGTGACTAATAATTTTCATTTACTGCTTTGCTTTGCTACAAACTACAGCTTTTAATAAAAAAAAAGATACTTTATTCATTGTGGTCTGTTGTCTCAGTTAGTCCTAATCTAAAAGGCTGGACTGGACTGAAAGTTTACAGAATGTGGGTTCAAGCATCCTTCAATAACCTGAGAATTTGACCCACATGAGGAACAAAAATTCCTGCCTCGTCTGATGAACATGCACCAGAGCAGGCGACTCCTGTAACAACATGTACTGCCCACTCTGGAAAACTAATAGGTAGAGATTTTATCCAGATCCTTTACAGTGATAACTGATAAATCGGCATTACAATGGCACAAAAATGCACGCACGCACGCACGCACGCACGCACACACAGAAATCAGACAGAAAGGCAAAGTAAATGCAGCATATTTCATTTCAATAAACACAGACATGTCAAGAGCTTAAAATCAAGAATTTGATCATCCAGTTAAAAATAACATAGACAGTAAAATAATTAGAATACGTGTTAAAATAAAAATAGAGTCTTTCTAATATAATATAAAACAATCTTAATTCATTTGATCTAGGAGAAGAGGTGTAGCTTACATACAGCGGTGGATAAGCCATGGCTCATATATTACACACAAATCGCTCAAACACCACACGACGAGTCCTTCCTGTTCGTGCTTAGAAACATCGCAGGTATGAGAGGAAGACGAGTGATTATGGGGTTAAAAGAATGAGCGGGCGTGCAGGATGAAGGGATGGGATGGAAACGAGGCAAACAAGACGACAGGAGTCCATGCAGACGTTTCACAGTGATGTCTCTTTTCCTTTTAGTGGTGTTACACTGAGAAGCAGGCAGACATGGAGAGCATGACAGACAGAGGACAGCGGAGCCTCAGATGTAGGTGACGGCACCTTTGCTGTTTTTCTCCAGCGTGATTTCTACGTAGGAAGTGGGAACGTAGCCCTCCTCCCCGCTCTGCTTCCTCGCCCGCGTCCACCCGTCGCCTTTGTCCTCCTCGATGATGTACAACACCTGCGGGCAGGCAGACAGTCAGGACGTCACGTTCTCCCACGACTCACCGGAGACAAGTTTTCAAATCGCACCATTCAAATCAAACTCAAGAGTCTCACCTCGTCTTCTGCCATCACTAGCGTGCCCTCGTTCTGACCTGAGAGTCAAACAAAAACAGGACACTTAGACCACATCAGGCTTGATACTCTGTAACCAGCTCAGTTCAGACTGCGTGTGCTTACCGTCAAACGAGTAGAGCGCTTTGCAGTGTCCGATGACAGGCAGAGGGTCGTCGTCGTCGAACTCGTCGTCGAACTCGTGTGGGTCGGGGTTGGGATGTCGAGGCTGCGCTGGACCGGGCCGGTGATGAGGCGTTTGATGCTCCTGGCTGGTGTCGTCTGTGTAACTGCCCTCAGGGCTGACAGGAAACAGGCGTGAGCTTAGGGTGCACGGGACTGGTCACACTTATATTTGATTTAGAAGATAAACAAGAACCAGCGTGCATCGAGAGTACAGGCTCATGAAACATTTGTAGTGCTTTGCGGCAACTGTTGTTGTGATTTGGAGCTATATAAAGAAAACTGAATAAAATTGTAGAAAATATGCTGGACAGAAAAATGAAAGGACGCGGGGGCGAGACGAGCCGCTGAATACCAATTTAAACTGCCGCAATTAAATTCAGCAAAGTGGACAAGCTTGCTGCATCACTTTTCTTTGATTTGATTTTTGGGCTGTCTCTGAAATCTGCCCTTTCATTTCCATCCAAAGATGTGGCATCTTTTCATCCTTTAAGTCCTAACTCTGGTGCATGATTGAGATCTGATGTGTTTTCAATCTGTTTCTTTAACTTTTCTGAACAGTGAAAAACAAAGGTCCATTTTCAGTGAGGAACATAAGTCCTTCAAAGAAAAGACGGGAGATTTGATACCTCTCTCTGCCTTGAGGACCATGGTGATGGTTATCAGCGCTGTGCCTTCTGTCTCCTCTGGAGCTTTGCTTTCCCTCCACCTCAGACAACCACGTCTGTCAGTGACACGGTTCATTAGTATACATTTCAACAGGTGGCCAGAAGCTGCATGTAGATAATGACTGAGACCTTCTTGTCCTGTCTTTACCTCATTTTTGTGGATTTCGGAGCGCAGTTTCTCCATGTTACAAATGGTCTCTGATATTTTGGGCTGCAGGCTGTTGGGGTCTCCCATCTGAGGATTCTTCTCATACACGTCCTTCATCTTGTTCAGAGCATCTCTGACAGAAACACACAAGAAAGCAAGCGAAGCTTATAGAGCAGACTGATGGCGATAAACAGTTCGAGGACCATAAAAGCGAAACTGGGATCCTGGATGGAAATATCTGACAGTGACATCATTTAACAGTTGCGAGATCCAGAGCAGGTTTCCTACAATCTTGCTGGTTTAGATGGCTTGGCCAGTGTCTTACCTCTGATCCATCTCTTTCTGGAGCTCTCTGTTGAGTTCATCAATCCTCTGCTGCAGTCGCTTCCTCCTCTGCTCAGGAGGTAAGTGGCTGAAATCCTCCAGGGACGGTGCCTGGGGCAGGAAAAAACAAAACAAAAACAGGATTAGACTCTGGCATCACTCATCTAAAGTTAATCAATTCCGCAACAGAGAATGATCCCCAGAAAGCACAACAAAAGCAACAAAGCTTATTGCATTTGCTTCTTTGTTAAGATGCAATTACACCAGCGACTTATTTCCATCAGGAGCCCAGATGCTGCAGCGTGAGCTGGTTTGTTGTGGAAATAAGCGGCTCAAATGTTAGAGGTGAAAGAAACAGCAGCTTTTCTAGAGCCTCTGATCCAGAAACTGTCAAAAGAGCTTCATCGGCAATTCATTTGTTCGGTTGTCATGGAAATGTTCACATTGCTGTTTTCCCTTTCTCTGAATTTTAAAGAAGACCACCAAATCAAACCTTTGATCTTCAGTTATATTTATCCATCTAGAGTGCTTTGATGCGAGTCGCCTCATTCTTGAGACATCAGCTGGAGAGATGTGTGCCTTCATTTGAAAAAAGGGGAACTAATCAACGTGACTTTTCCTCAACGCTCAAAAAAATATACATTAAAGAAATTTTTTTTTCTCAGGCTCATGACGGTATGCAAATACTGAACTGTAACGCTAGCTAGCTGCATGCTTCACTTGCTTAGCTGGGCGACTCACACCAAAATAATCTGCAGGGATAAACAGCAGCACAGTGTAGAGGGAAAACATGAAGACTGGATTAATGTGAGCTTAAAGGGACAGCTCACACACTCTGTGCTGGCCTTAAAGTCCACTCATGGTGTGATGAGTCTGCTTTATCAATTCCATAGCAGAAAATATATAAAGCATGATAATAATATAAATAATTTATATATAGCCTAATAAACAGCTCTGAATGCAGCTGACAGGAACAACAGCTGTTCCTCTAAAACTGAGGAAGTCTGTACTCGTGAGGATCCACATGTACTGTTTGTACTGACAGACAACAGGAAATCTATTCTACCTGGAGAGGAAGTGGCCAGCTAGCACTACTGGGCTGTGCACTGTGTGTTGGACACTATGGGAGTCCTACATGGTGAGGTTAGATGCACTGGCATCTACATGGCCGGGTCTTCTCAACAGCACTAGTCTACACACTCACACAGACTCACTTACCATCTTCACTGACCACTGAGCCGTCACACATTAACAAAAAAGAGAGAACAACAGTGGATGCTGTTAGTTGTCAGAAGAGTGTTCACACTGGTTACTGGATGTGTTTACTGTGTGCGTTCTCAGTGTGGTCCAGCACCTCGTGTTTACTAAACACAGCAGCAGCAGCGTGTGTGTGTCTCCCCCCACCCCCGTGAAACTTCCCTCTGATTGTGTTTCACGCTTTCACAGGTACACACCACTCCTGCTTCTTTTTGGTGCAAAGTTACAGCACTTTCCATAACTCAGGAAATTCTTATGGTGGGAAGATTTCTTGCTGATTCATTAAGGGACAAAGAACAAAGAAAACAAAACTAACAGAGAGCAACAAACGTACTGGTAAACTAGTTAAAAACATGTTCTTGCATCAAATAACAACATCCCAACTACCCAATGTGTGGGCCTGCAGAGCGTTTGAGTCACAGTTCACATTTAAAGGAAAATCTTGTACAGTACTGCATCCTGCTGCTGGCTTTGTGCTACTCTGCTTTTTGACAGCAGGTGGCAGTACAACAGTCACTGATGCACAGTTCATTCTCCACATAAAGCCAGGCTCGCTGCTGCTGCTGCTGCTGCTGCCATCTTGCTCTGGGAGGTCTGACTGCAGGCTCTGACCCAGTCCTATAAAATGTCATATGCTGTGCTGCTAAATGGCTCATCGGCAGCTTCCTAACCAAGTCAAACTCTCTTCCACGGTGTGTCTTCAGTCTCGTCTCCCATCCCTCACCCCCAATCGGTCGCTGCATATGGCTGCCTCTCCCTGAGCCTGGTTCTGCTGGACGTTTTCTTCCTGTTAAAAAAACATTTTCCTTCCCACTGTCGCCAAGTGGTTGCTCAATAAATAAAAGTTAATCGTATTGACTTGATCCTGTCCTGTTTTACATTTCACGGCAGAGCCTCGCAATAAAAGCAGCTGCAGAATAATATGGACCTTGCACAATATTTTATAAAACTAATACTAGGTCTACAAAAACAAGCATTTTCTAACTGAAATTTTTCATTTTAAAATGTCCTCACATCATCTGTAAAGTAGAATGAACACCGTGCTCCAAATTCAGCAGCATATAAGATTTTTTTCTTTCTTTTTTTTTTTTTTAAATCCTCTGTCCTCGTTCATACATGGCCCAAGCATGGCTGCACCTGAGCAATAATGCAGGAGCACAAATGCATTTTTCTAAAGATCAGCAGCGAGCAGTGTGTGTTATATTCACAGGCACAGTACCTGTGAGCGAAGATGGCAGATTCATGCTGGCCGACATGGAGGTAAACAAAGTAGGATCCAATAACAGGGCTTCAAATTGCAAGATATTATCACGTTCCATTCTGTTACTTCATCAACTATCCATCTATCCATGAATCTACTGTTAACAGTATACTGCTTTGTTTTTACCCTGTCTAATAAAGCGGCTCAAAGAGATGCACTCAAAATGAATCCATTATCATAAACACTTGCTAACATATGCTGCCTTGCACATTTGTTTAAACTCTCAGATTGTATCAAATTTAGTAGACCAAACAAAAAGCTGCCAATCACAGATGAAGCTGACAGACCTGAAAGGAATAAAAGCCAATCAAAGCTGAGGACTGAAACAGAGTCTGAATGTTATTCACATGTTGGTGTTAAAACTGTGGGAGAGCAAAAAGCTCTGTTTGACAGCTGAATGAAGCCATTAGCAGAGCGACACACACACACAAACACACTACAACTACAGCCTCAGACCAACATCTGCACAACACGTCTGATGTTGGCATCTCTGTTTTTATTTTGTATGCCTCCCACAAACACAACACTGCAGCCACAATGCCAAAAATACCCTCTGAATCCCTCGCACACCGACACACCGTCAATCACCAAGGATCGTCCGTCTTGGGATTAGAGCAAAATTCCATCTTATACATGAAGGAAGCAAAATAATCACACCAAGAGAAAAAAGAAAGAGAGATAAAAAGAAAAGCAGAGGGTGGAGGATATGGGAGGAAGGGAAAACAGGAAAAAAAAGGAGAAATGAGAAGAAAAAAATCATATTTTAGGGTGTCTGCAAGTTTCTCAAGTCAAATGACAACGTATGGGCTCGATGTATTCATCAATCGAGGACAAAAGTAGTTAAACGATCCAGGTCAAAACTGAAAGTGTGCTTTTTGTGCTCACTGTGTAAGTCAAGATTGTTATCGTCCACAGAGGGCCTGCAGACAGCCTGTAGAAGAAGTGAAAACCAAACAACACATCAACCTGCCTCACTCGAACACACTACAGGCACTACTGTCTGTCTCACCCCTCTCCTCAGGCTCCGCAAATTTCGCGGGATTCTGGGAACTGTAGTCTTTATCTCAGATAGGTAGTGGCTGACGAGGTCAGAACTAAACCGGCGTGCAGGGAATAACTGGGAGGTGGACCAGGGACGAGAGGAGGAAGGTGGTGGAGGAGGAGAACAGGCGGGGGACTGGGTGAGGAGCAGGAAGAGAGGACAGAGCCAGAGGTCAGGATGACTTATTGGATTCATGGTGCAGTGTTTCTCCTGACGACAGGTTGTTTTAGCTCAGAATACAATTCTGGGTTTTAATGATCGCTGGAACCTCTACATTTAATTAATCGCCAAGCCCTTTAAACCTAATAAACTTTGAAAATAAAACAGGAAGTAAGTTTATGACGCCAATTTGTTCAAAAAGTGACACATACACAAATACATATTCAGTTTATCTGATGGGAATGCAAACAATCCAGATGAAAATGGTGCTTTCCCCACTCTGCTGTGAGTCCTTTAGTGGTTCAGCCATCATAATCCATCCACAGTCGAATCCTCTAACTCAGCACATTTTTGTTGTAGAGATCTACCAAAAAGCTCCACATGCAACTCATCAAATCTCCTGAAAAATCAATCTCAATCAGCTTCTTCACATGATCGCTGGAGCCCGGCGTGGACGCTGTTTATTCCAAACTGAGATCAGTTTCACTTTAACATTTTTCTGTCAACGTGGATCGGGGGAGCTCTCTGTTGAAAAGAAGTGACGTCAAATCCAAGCCACACAGCCTTTAAAAAGAAATGATGACGCTCAGATGAACCAACAGCAGGCAGTTAATGATTGATCAATACGGTCTTTATGGAGACGGGCAAGTTCCAAGAAGTGTGTTGTAGGAAGCATTTGAGGGTGTTGTTATTGGAAAGGTGACAAAAAAAAAGCTGCAGCTCAACGCGACCTGAGAATACAAGCTTGGTCCAGAGGAAGTGATTAAATATGGGGGAATAACATTAATAATATCTGAAAATATGCAAAAAAAAAATGACTGTAAGAGAAAAATGTATGATGTAAAGGGCAGGGACGGTTAAAATCAAATGAGCTCCTAATAAAGCTGTCTGACTGTTTGTATGAAGTCTGTTAAAGAACACGCTCTAGTGCAATGTAGGTATGTAGGTCACTATGGAGAGCCCTTATAAAGGTCCTACTGACTGATAAACATCTAAGGATTATGGGTAAATCACTGCAAATTCACCTGCAAACAGAAATTTTCAGATCTTTTCTGTATGTTTTACATTATGACACTATTATTTTTTTAGGTCTATATTTGATAGACTAACATGAACAGGTCCACAAGAGTGAATTACTTTGAAGCAACAAGAATTATTCATCACTTCCTGTACCTTTGGTTTCTTCCCAAACAGCCAGAGCTTGTTCTTGGTTCTGCTCATGGGGTGTTTCGGATCAGATCGTGGCCCCGGTGCCCCGTCTCGCTCTCGGTTGTCTCCTTTGGGCGTGTTGCTGATGGTACCATCTGAGCCCGTTCTGCTCAAATTCTGACTGAAGTCCTCGAAGGGGAAGTCAGCAGGAGGTTCAAAGCCAGATTTGAATGACTCCACAACTATTGCTGAATCCTGGGAAGTGAGAAGGAAAACAAGTTTTCCTATCTTTATCCAAACACCAACCCCACGTCTAGACTACTACCAGCTTATCGGTTTCACAGATTTCTGAAGATGCTAGCAATAACCGCTCTTTTTCCTTTCTTCCTACACTTACCCTTCGCTCGTCTACAGCCTTGGCAGCTGAAACCATTCCCTCTAGACATTTGGAGATGATGGGAATAACTCTCCGCTCTGCCTCAGCAAAGCTTCGATATGTCTCTCCAAGCTTTACCGTCCGACGTTCATCCATGTTCTGCAGATTCTGTTACACAGAGCACAGGAAATGGAATCAACACTAGGAAGTAGCCAAGTACGACACACACACAGACACAGGTGCAAACCCCTACAAGCAGATCCTTTTAATGACAAACACTGATACCTGGTTAGAAGATCAGTTAAAGCCATGTGTTAAACATTTAATGGGTCACTAACACAGAGCACTATGCTTTCACTGAAATGGAAACCTTTATACAAAGTCATTGAAAAACAATGAAAAAGAATCAGTGAGATTGTGTCAGTAAATAACAACGTGGACTTGAAGGTACAATTCCCTTCAAATCGTTTCAGTTTTATTTATATTGAGCCAAATAACAACAACAACCTCCTCATGGTCCTTTATATTGTAAGGTAAACCCCTCAATAAAATCAAATGACCCCCCAACACCCAACCCAACCCACCCCCCTCCTCCATGAGCACGCACTTGGCGACAGTGGGATGGAAAATCTCCCTTTAAACAGGAAGAAACCTCCAGGCTCATGGAGGAGTGACTATGTGTTGTGACAGGTTCTGTGTGAGGGGAGGAAGGTGTGCTGTAGAGAGAGAGCCAGAGCTACAGTTCAACATGTCTGAGTTACCTTAAAGATCTGTGGTATGGCACTGTGGAAATGTTTCCACTGCTCTGCATTGAAGCTCTGGAGCTGAGCGGCGTACTCGTTCTTGCTCTCATCAGCCGCGTGAGTGCGCATGTAGAACTGAGCTTTGGCCTGAACAGATCATACACACCAACACAACATCAACAGTCACTGATGTCCCATCAACCTCCAGTCTGTCCACATTATAAATCACATGCATCACGGTGCTACGACTAATTCGGAAGCCATAACAAATTCAAATACTGTGTTTTCCAATTTTCAAAAGGAGGGAAAAGTCACGTCATTGCATAGATCCCACAGTGCAAACAAGCTGAGGAGACTGCTACCACAGCATCTTACAGTTTAAGGCACATAACGGTGTTATTACAGGTGGGGGCTTCCTACCTTCTCCACCTCTGATTTGGTGGCGTTGATGTCATTATCTAGCCGCTCGTAGGTGATCTGGGACTTCTCTGCTTCTTTGCACTCTCTTTCAAATTTCTTTTTACTCTGAAAGGGAGAAAATAAACGCACAATTTTAAGTAAATTGAGTAACTCAAAAGATTATATAACATTTTCGCAACCTCTCCATTTCATGTCTCAATAAAAAAAAATTTAAAAATAAAAAAAATATGTGAATGAGAGGGAGATGAATCAGAGAGGAGGATAGTTTATTTCCTGCCAAGCCATCTGGGTTACATTACCAGTGAAGGAAACGCAGCGAATAGCTGAGACATTACAGTTCAGTCACCAGGTAGTCACCATTAAAGACACGCAGCCCGCACACTGAAACACGCGAATGGTTGTGCAGCACTGAACTCAACTAATGGGCCTCGGGCCAGGAAATGTGAAAAGATAAGAATTATTTACTTTTTTATTTACGTTTATTTTGGAGTTGTTGTGATTACAGACAGGTCTAGTAATGAGCACTGGTGTAAAATAACTCAGCTCACGCAAGTGAATGACCTCAGATGTGAACAAATGCAATCTCTCGCTCCTTCTTTCTCTCTCTGGAGCCCGTAAAGAGCCAAAAAGCAGGCCTGTCAGGGGCCAAATGCGGCACATGGGCCTTGCCTTGCTGTGGGAGGGGTTGGTCTGCACTGAGGTCTCTGTGTATGTGTGTTTTTTCAGTGTGTTTCCTGGTCTTGGCCCCTGTCTTCAGTCCCTGCAGACTGGGAAGTTTGCCAGGAAGAAGAAAGGAACCCAGCTGTCTTTTCACCCTCAGAAACATGTCCTTTAATATTACAATATTACATATACATACATACATATATATGTGTTTATATATATATAAATTAGCACAGATAGTGAAATGCTAAAATCAAATGCAAGTACCCTGAAATTGCATATTTCATTCTTGTATAAATAATGTAACGTGTGAAAGTGGGGGATAAAGTGGATCCTATTTGTCCTTCTGTTACCTTTGTTAACATATCTTACATTCCTCATGCAAACAAGTATGAGATGAATAAAGCCGGCTGTCCCGAGCAGATGATATTTACACTAAACAGTACATTTTTCTACTCAAACCTCCTCCTTCTCGCCTCACTTACATTGTCCATCTGTTTCCAGCAGTGATCCAAATGCTGCTGGGCCTTTCTGCCCTCCTGTAGATGCTGCTCATTTATGCACACACACAAACACACACAACGAGAACACATTTACACAGAAACAGAAAATACATATAAATATGTGCACAAATACAAAATTACTGGACTCTGCGTCACAATCACATATAAAACAACAATTACTTGAAGGAAGAGTTGAGTTCAGTTACTAAAGCAGTAAATGTCCTCGGCTGTACCAGACGCCTTAGTTTGTGCGGTTGTCATGGAAATGAATCTATTGACATGCATATTGAGAACTATGTGATGCACTTAAAGGTTTATAAGACTAATACTGCAGTGGCTGTTCAGCTGGGATTGTTGCCACACTAATATTAGTATATTTGTGATAATATATTATAAACGAAAGAATGGACAGCACTTCTCTGCCAGCATTAGAATCTATGCCAACCTTTCATGCTTTTCAATCCTAAATGTACAGTTACTCTGTTCAAAGATTATATTATAGATGGGAAAAGACTTGAGCTGCTCTACTCTCGCATCTGTTTGATTTCAAAGAAAGTGAGATCCTTCGTAGGGTCGTCTCTCTAGCTGCAGCCCCACCCACCTGCTATTAAAACTTCCTGATCCTAAACCTATATGTAATCTTTAAACATCGAAATACAAACAAAAACCATTATCATGTTGGTGTAATCCTAAGAGTAGTACTGTCCCTACAAAAATGAGTGTTGGATTGCTATAGAGCACAAAACCAGCAGAGGGCACTGTTCTTCCCCAAACGCATGGCTTTTAGCCTTTCACTTTTTGCCATCAGCAGATGGTGGAAAAGACAGATGGTTAACATTACATCCAACATATTTATCCTCTTAAGTAAAGCCAAGCAGAACACAAATTCATGAGAAGGCGACACAGCGGATGTTAAGGGCAAACAGCAACATCCGTTTTATGACAGGAAGCAACAGTTTCTTTGACAAATGTGATCTAACAGCAAATGAGCTGAAAACAGACAGAAAATAAAGCACATGTTTGGCTTTTGTTCAGTGGCACGCAGCGGGAGCAGTGAAGTATGAACATGTTAATGTACTCACATGCTTCCTCTCAGCTTTCAGGTCCTGGCTGTACCTCATCAGCTCGCCATAAACCCTGTGAGCCATCTCCTCCGCCACCACCTCCCTCTGACCAGCATAGTCATTAAGCTCATTGAGTATGGAGTAGAAAGACAGACATGACGTGAACCTGCAGGAGAGCCACATAATTAACACGTGATTAAGACATAACATGTCCCGTGTCTTCTAGTGTACTACACACATATGCACAAAAACATAAACTCTAAGCCAGGGACATCAAACTCATTTTACATCATGGGTGCATCTCCCTTTGATCTTAAGTGGGCCGGATCAGTGAAACTCCCTTTGTTTTTTTATAGTGTAAAGAAGTTTATCTACACATTTAGTCCTGAAATATCTTAATATAAGAAAAAGAAGTGAAACTGCAACAGCATGTCTCGGTTTTGGAAAAAAATATATATATACGGCAGTAGTAAATGAAAGAAATGGGCCAACACTGCTCTTTAGGCTTAAATTGTAAGAAATAAATGTGTAAAATTACAGGAAAGGATCAGGTAGCTCAATGGACATATTTAGATAGTGAAATACAGGAACCTGTCAGTCATTCCAATGTTTAATCTATTACTTAATTACATTGGTGTATTATTAATGACCATATGGAAGGTCTTTATTGCCTAAATGTATGAAAATGCAGTTAAACTCCAGAATTTATGCTCTTCTTTACATTTTCCATAGCTGTCCAGTGGGCCAGTCTGGAGTCTTTGCTAGGCTGATTCTGATCCCTGGGCCTCAAGTTTGACACCCCTGCTCCAAACAAACTACATCCAAACATTCTGCACTGCTTTATTTAGTTTTTTTTATTTGTGTCATATTCTTTAGTTACATATAAATGACACTCAAACTGGTGTGGAACTCATTTTAACGTATCCCGCTGCAGTTAGAAGCTTACATACATTCATCATGGAGGTGAATGTTTTGTTAATATTAGCCTTTCAATCATTTCTGTGAACTGTTGTTGTTTTGAGGCTGAATGACTGCAAACATCATTTAAATCAAAGCTTTAATTTTTGCAGAAATAAATACAGGGTATACATACTTTACACGCAGCGCACCTGATTTTAAAAAAAAAAAAGTGACTCTCAGGAAGCTGCACTTTTACCAGGTGCTTCTGGTGCCAACAAGTTTCTGGCACAATTTCTGGTTGGTCTTCTAGGAAGGATTAGTGGAGTTAAATTGAAATGGTTGTTTTATATATTTCAGAGGCAGCCTTAATGTGTGACTGAGGTCACTGCCCAGCTGAGTCCAAGCTTCAAATGGCAGTTTGAGGTTATGCTGAGGCAGTCTACCTTCTTCATTATCATGTGTACAGTGCTCTTGGTCCTCACTTTTACGCCTACAAAACAAAGTTGCATCTAAAGGTGTGACTCATCTGACCATTTAATTTCCAGAAGCTCTCAGTACTAGAGAACATGCATCTTTCTTGGACAACAGCCTATCAGTCCATGGCGATGTGAAGCTTCTTGACAGCAGACTGTGACATTGATGTTTCACTGATGTCTTGGAGGATTTTTTTTTTTCTTCTGACCATCTGAACCAACTCATCTCAGGGTGAAAGCCAGCCTCTCTTTCAGACCTAAGCTAAATGGATTTCCTCCCCAACAACTTGTACTTTTCACCTGATGTTCTGCAAACATTAAACTCTGGAGCTCTCAGTCACATGGGCACAGAAACCAGTTGGCAACCCGCTGGTCACGTCATGTCCCAAGGGAAGAATGCGTCGTTTCTGAAGGCTGTAAGCTGGGTGAAATTAGACAGGCGCAGAGAAGCTGGTTTCTTCTATACAAACTACAGACAGCTGTGGCAATCTGCTCTTGCTAGGAGGTTTTCACTGCAGCATGATATACCTCTAAGACCAATTTCACCAACAACCTTCCACAACCGTTCACCAAACATTCAGGGAATGCACATTGTTCCCCAGTGTCCTGTGGCTACCAGGCAGTCACTGACCAGTCTCTTGGCCTGCATAACTGGAGCTTTAACAAGGGATTTCCCGACAACTGCCAGGAACCATCAACAGCCACTCACAACTGGTCAAATTATACTCATTCTTCCACAGTGCCCAGTGGTTGCCAGGCAGTTGCCAACTGGTCTCTAGGTCTGTGTGACTGGGGCCTTAGAAATGGCTCCAAGAAACATTATAGACGCGTGTGAATCTACAGTTCTCCTGTTCAGATCTGAACTGAGCACCCTGGACTTTTTACTGTTCTTGGTCAGGCCGACGAGTGCAGCGAAAAGAAAATCTATAAAAAAAGAAGCTGCAGCTGTGATCAGTCAGGATCACTCACAGGAATTGTGAGTGCCTTGTCAACACATTTTGAAACTTTTAGTACCTCTGAAAGACAGGGCAAGTATATTGTTGGCTATGTATATTTGATTTCAACTTAAAACATATTTTAGGAAACCCATAATAAATTCCTGAGTCATTTGCATGTTATGCAATTAGTCCAGCATTAAAAAACGAAAAAAAGCAGTTCACAGAATTTATTGAAACCCAAGATAGCGAAAATATTTACATCCATGATGAGTGCGTGCCAACTTTCTAAAGAAACTGTGTCTCCAAACCTTCAAACAAAGAAACAAAGAATCCACATTCTCGCAGACTTTTGTTTGTAAGACATCAGCCTTCACAAACTCGCAGCTTAATGGTGTATTATCCTTTTCTACTTAATGAAAATCAAGAATCAGTCATGTGATTCGGCTGTGGCTTTTGCTTACAATTAAAGAACAGAAAAACAAAGACTTGAAATTTTTTAGTAATTTTTTTTTATTTTTTAATTTTTTTAGCACACGTATGCCATGGCATCAAAGCCAGCGTCTGGGTCCTTCCAACGGACAAACAGTATTTATAAAGTGTCCGACAGGCCTTTTCCGCTCTTACCGTCTGCAGACATCCGACAAGTAAACAAAAGCAGAAACACAGACACTTAAGGTTACTCACCTCGGCTCCTCATCTTTGGAGCGCTTTGGACAATATTTCTTCACCAAGTTCCTGACAGACAAAAGACACAGAGAAGCAGACTTGTGTAAGACATTTTAACTCTGGTAGAGAGACACACACATGTATACACACGCACAAACACACATAGAAAATAGGCATCATAGTTTATTATTAGAGATGAATAACACACTTAAACATCAAAGTCTCTGCCTATCCACTCCCTCAGGCTCTGCTAGCACAAACTACAGTTACAGTGTGATTTAATTATTTAGCTAGAGTGCAGAGGAATGTGTGTGTGCAACAAACTCTATGTGTGTGTGAGTGCACGCATGCACACGCGCATGCACACGCGCATGCACGCGAGTTGTCTTGCTATCAGTGACAAAATAAGGAGTTTCTGCCTGATTTCCTGGAAACATGTTTCATGCAGACCTTTGATCACTCTTCACTCTTCACAAATCCTGTGTGTGTCTTTTTTTCATCTATTCACAAGAGATATCCCCCCTTTGGAATCCCAAATGCGCCGCCAGTGGGACTCTACTGGTTTTTAAATGCGAGTTACTAGGTCCGTGCCCGGTGAGTTTTGAAAAAGGTTGAATCAACAGACACAGTGAATAAACACACGAGGCACTGTTCTAATAAAGGTCTGCACTGCAAAGTGCTGATGCTGTTATAGCTCAGATTTTGAGCACGCTGGAGACAAAGACAGGCTGCTGTTAAATACATACATTTACCCTTCTTTTAGTTTTATATCATTTCATCTCATGACTTCATTCCTTTTGTCAGTGCATTGCTTTAGACTGTTTTTTTTTTAAGTGTGCTACATGTAACTATGGCAAAAAAAAAAGCAAAAAAAAAAAAACAAGCAGCGCTTCATCTCTGACCTTCTTCATCTTCCATACATTACTAGAATAAAACTTTTATACTATTCTAAGTATATTGCATTTTTTGTCTTGAAGAAAGGCTTTTTGCTGTTGGTGTGTTACTGCTCTTAATGAACCGAACAGTGCACATGCAGCTGTATTATACCAAAGGATATAAATATTCATTTGGGATTCAGTCCCAGGAGTGGCAGCATTTACATTAGCCTGATCAAAGGCACAAAAAAAGCTTCAATATAGAATCTTCAGCATCAAAGGATTTCCCAGTATGTGTATGAAGGAAAAGACAACACCATCACACTTAATCTGTGTCTCATGAAGCTGCATTTTATGCTTTTTTTATGCTTTTTTTTTTTTGTCTTAAAGTATATCAATATAACTTTCTGTATTTGACATTTTGTATACGTGTGTGTGTGTGTGTGTGTGTGTGTGTACCGTAGCTGCTTGGCATAGTTTTGCTCTATCTCCAGTCTCTCCTTGACAAACTTTGCATAGCGCTCAAGAAAGTCAATCCCCCATTGAGTGTGTTTGTCCAGATTCTCGAACTGGTCCTAAAGACAAAAACACAGTAAGACAGAAAAAGACACATTTAATAAGGACTTTCAGGACACGGTGAACAAAGGGTTCAAATTCAAAGATTACTCAGCAGTCCGTGTGGAATGACTCTGAACATACAAATGAGATACACATTTCCTTCTGCTGGCTCAGCTCTAAAAAGTATTAGTGAGCTGTGTACATCTCATGCATCCCTGATTTAAACCACCACATGTGGACAAATTACAATAAATCAACTGCAGACTCGACATTAGAAGCAGCAAAATTAAGATCAGCATGAGGACGGACTAATGATTGATTCGTACAAATTACATATGACATACTGTTTCAGACTTCAGTATTATTGGTGGTTTGATCAGGAACCCAAAGGCCAGTGAAATCAGTGCCTGTGGCCACATGCCCACATTTGATCCATTCTCATTGAAATCCATCCAGCTGAAGGTTTTCGGGCCAACTGTTTACATTTATTGTGAGTGAACAATGCATTTTCACGTCCAGATGAGTTGAATCAGCATGATGCATGCAACAACTGTCAAACATGTCCTGCATCATTCTTTTTCACGGGCTACCAATCATCTGTTCACTGCAGTAGTTGCAGTTATTGTCCTGCTCCTGCAGTCAAAGGTTTCTGACTCTCCAGAGGGGATCAGTTCAGCTTGGAAGAGGAGATGTTAACATCTCCATGCGCTTACACAGACGGAGGATACGCATGCAAAGAATGCAGACAGAAAGCAGCCAGGGCGAACATTTACATCCCAGAAATGCTCTTTATAGTCAGTCCCTCTCAGCTTCATTGGGTTTGGGTTCTGGTTGCTTTGCTTGAGGTGTTTTTTGAAAAGGAAACCAAGACTTCACTGTAAACTGGTGGTGCAACAATTTTAAACTTTATAATTTAATATATTAGCTTGTTTTGTTTTTTGTTGCATTGTAGATTATTTTTTCTATCCACATACTTCAACAGTGCACAGACTCATGGCGGTAAACGATCAAGCATCCTGCTCCACAATCACCCCCATCAAACACAATCAACCCTGGACCCTGCCCAGGACAAACACTCTTATCTATAGCCCACATTGGTGGTTGCTGGTCACTTAATTGTTTTGTGTACGGCCACCACAATGGCTGTAGATTTGCTAATGGCTGTAGCAATTCTTCAGCTGGAACCAGCTTGCACTGTTACTGCTTTTATAGTGGATCTTACTCTGCCTTTTTCACTCAAATACTGAACATCCTTGTCACTTCTGTCAACTCAGATGAACACCATGACTTTTTCAAAGTACTGAAAGCTCTCCATTAAGACAAAATCAAACCAAAAAGGTGGAAATATGTCAACTACTGTGGACACTGACATCAAAATACCCATCAAGTGAGCCACATGGGCTACTGCTCTGTGTGCTTTAGGCTGCATGTGGGTGTGTGAGCGTGTGTGTGTCAACATGAAGCTTGAACTGCAGAAAAATAAAGGTCACAGAGGCAAACATGAAACAGCCAACCCTTGCGTGTCCAGTTATTACTTTCTTCAAACACAAAGAGAACAAAAGGAAGCCGAAACAATACTGCAATTTACCTTGCTGTGTACATAGAACAGCAGTGTCAGCAGCAACTGATACCCATACTTAAATGCCAAGTATGGTCTTAAAATCATTAGCAATATGTTCAGAAATTAACTGCCAGAGTTCTCACCCACCCTTATGCATCTTCACTGGCTCCTGGTTAAGTTCTGTATCTCCTATAAAATCCCCCTCCTCACCTACAGATTCCTACACAGCACCCTAGGACGTCCTCCTTCCCTTCACATCATCCTGGAATCGGATTTCCACCAACAGGGATCTACTGTTCACCCCACACACCAGCCTGCCATCCTAAATTTGGCAATGCCCCTCTCTGGCAATTTCAAAAAGCAATTATTATAATAATTATTATTATTATAACCTCAGTTCACACGCAGAAACAGCTTCTCTAAATCATATTTCTCTAACCAATGTGGAAAAAACTGCATGTTACTAAAAATGACACAGGCATTTTTCCCTCCTGCTATACTCGAATTCAATGTATCACTCTACTATTCTGCCACGTTTTCCTCCCCACTGTCCACTGAGGTCCATAATAAGTGCTTCACTAAAGCTTGTAACATCGTGTTTCCACTGAGAAGTGTGGAAGAAATTCTGTCTGGTTCAAGACAAAAACTGCAAACAAGAGGGGGGGCTGCAGTCCAAAAGCAGCCATCAGTCAAAGAATATGCTCACTAATTACAACCAGTGAGATAAACAAAGCGACCCCAGCATGTTCACACAAGCAGCAGGATACAACACAGAGTTCCCATCGGTCTCTATGGAGCGTGTTGGCAGTTTTCTCTAAGTGAGAAATAAACTGCAAAAGGGCACATTTTCTTATTCAAGCATAAAGATTTCACCCAAAACCGAGCAGCCAAAGACAAAACAAGAAGCCGAGCAGCAGGGTGAAAAAACAAAAATCAAAGAACGGCAATCTGCATGTTTTGGTGGAGCTTTTGGATCAATATTTTCTGCATCCCGTCTGTCTGGCTGCATCTGGTTAATGCGTACCGGCCCTGTTTCTTGCCAGCCTGTCTGGCTCGTTTTAGCAGCATGTCTGTCTGTGGTTGCGTCAGCCTCTGTGACGGTGCCTATGAATAAGTAATACGAGTATGAGCTCATCCTGTAGTTTGTGGCAAGCTGAGCACAGACTGCCTCACTGGGGAAATGACAGCATCTTCCCGGTCTTCTCTGGGATGAAAATAACGCTGGCTGAAGAGTTGCAGCCTAAATCTGGGATCTGCAATGTGGCTTGGTCTCAGTAAAGGCACCTGCACCACTCACACTTTCTCTGCAGTGAGTCAAATATCAGTACTAAGTAACAAGACCAGCAATAGTTTTTTTAACCCGTGTATCCAGTCCCGTGTTAAGCCAGTCAGCCGTTATCAGAGTTAGACAGCAGTCTAAGAAGAGAAACTCAGGCATCCCCAGCAACCTCTTCCAGCTAGTTCCGGGGAACACCAAGGGTTCCCAAGCCAGCTGAGAGATCTCATTTCTCCGGAGTTTGTCCCAGGTTCTCTTCCCTCACAGAGGAGACATCCAGGAGGCAACCAGTCTCCAAACAGCTGCAGTCTGACTGCAATCACTCTGAGACAGATTGGTGAAGGTTTGCAAATAACTGCCGTCCAATTTGTAGATGGAAACAGACTGCCTACACAATCAATTAGAGTCAGTCTGCACCAGTGATCATCATTCTGCAGCTGAGGATGTGCAGGTCTGCAGTAGTGGAGACAGTGGATGAAAGGTTGGGGTTTTTTGTTTTTTTACAATAATTTATCAAAACGTCTTTCTCATTTTGATGTAGACAGCCGTGTGGTCAGCTTTAAAATGCAAGCAGTGACTGGTTCAGTGTTTCGCAGCGTATTTTAGCCCAACTCGATCCAAAATTCATTTTGAACTTTTCAATGATGATATTCTACAATGAATTCCTGAGATGTGTTATGTGTGTTACTTGTTATACTCTTTGCTCTTTTATACATTTTACCCATTATGACCTGTAATTATATTATCAGATTTTAATTTTTTATTTTTTGTTAAACAAATACAACCACTAAAATTTGAATCTTAAATGCTTATTTTGTTCATTCTAACTTGTATTTGGAAAAATTAGCTGGAAATTCACAACTTAACTTTTTTCAGGAAATGACTTCTTTATCACTAATGCTGTTGTTGCAGGACGGGGTCAAACTTTTCCCTGCAGTATCGAAAACGGTATTGAGTAGCAAGTATTTTCCTCAGTATCAAGTTTGAAATTCTAGTATAATGACAACTCTAGTATTAACACGAGCAGAGGGAGCTCATGTCTGTCGTTTGTATCCGTGATCTCTTCTTTTGGCCACTGCCCAAAGCCTGCAGACACAGGTGAGGACAGGCAGGTAGACTGACCAGTAAATCAATAGCTTCAGTTTCACACTCCGTTTTCTCTTCACTTCACATCTATCAATCTCTCCATTTCTTGTGAACAAGACCCCAGGGTACTTAAACTCCTCTACTTGAGGCAGTAACTTTTCTCAGACACAAGACTCCATCAGTGCTTTTTCCTGCTGAGATGTCCTTGGACTCGGTGGTGCCAATTATCATCCCCGCAACTTCACAATGGGCTTCAAATAGGGCTGGGCGATATGACCCAAAATTCATATCTCGATATTTTTTACCTGGACGGCGATATAAGATATATATCTCGATTTTTTTTTTTTTTTAAGCCATAAAGTAAGAACAAAAAGAG